GCACCCACCCGGAGGGCCCTGCCGAGGAGGGGGCACGCCACGGTCCCCGGCAGCGCAGGCACGGGGACGGCTGCTGGCTAAACTTACGCTGCCTGCTCGGGAAAAACTAAAGGTAGAAAAGGGCCTTCCCGGCCCTTCCTTGCTGGCCCTGTCCCCCTGCGGGAGGAGGTGGCGGATCAGTTCTGCCTGGAGCTGCTGCTGCTGCTGCCACGACCAAATGGGGTGAAGCCTTCGATGAGAGCCATGTATGTGCACCAGCACAGGAGCAAGCAAGTGAGCGTGAGCCCCAGCACGGCGGCAAGGGAGCGCGAGCCCAGGATGAGCACGGTGAGCCCCACAGCGAAAGTGAGCAAGCTTGAGCCCAGAATGAGAGAGCAAGTGAGAGCCCAAGACGGATGATGACGTCCACAGCAAATAAGCATAAGCCCCGCAGCAAGCCCTCCTCCTCCCCCCATGAGCGCGTGCCCAAGCCAAGTGACCGAGCGTGGCACTGGCTGGCTCTGGGAGGAGTGAGAGCGTGAACATGAGCTGACGGCGAGTCCAGAACCCGTCGGCGCAGGTGAGCAGAAGGATGAGTGGCAGTGCATGAGTGCCCGCGCGCACTGGTGCACAGCAGCAAGCATGAGCAAGAGAAACGGCGGGGAGGGAGAAGCATCCATCAGAACTGAGGTGCAACAGTAAGCATGACCATCAACAACAGGAGACCTACAGGGCATCTTCAGGCAGGCATGAGCACACAGAGGAGGGAAGGGCTAGTGAGGAAACAACCATGCGTCAGGAGCAGTGGATCCATTGCAAAGGAGAGCGTGTGCTGGGAGGAGGTTGGTGGGAGGACAGCCTGTCTGCCAGGGAGCAAAGGGGCTGGGGTGAGTATGCGCACTGCAGAGGGACGGGGACATGTGCGTTCAGAGAACAGGGAGCAGGGCAGGTACACATGAGATGCAAACAGTGGGGAGAGCACAGAGCGTTCAGGACATCAGAGCAGATGCTTTCAGGATGTCAAAAGTTGAGGGAGATGGGTACACTCAGAGCACAACGAGTCGGGGGAATTTGGGAGGTTGGTAGTGCAATGACAGGGAGATAGGGTATGGGAGATTGCGAATTTTTGTGCATCTGGGATCAGGGCAATGGCAGCTGTTCACACAGGATAACATGGTGCAACAGGTACAAGGATTTTGTGATGGCCACTTCCATAGACAGCAGACACAGGTGTACTGAGCACAATGGTGGCTGAAAAGCACATTGACATGGGTAGGAGAAAGGGCATAAGCCCAGCACATTTACGTGGGTACCAGAGGGACAGAAGCACATTTATGTTGGGAACAGAGGATATCTACGCTAGACATGGGGGCTAAGAGTACATGTGCGCTAACGGCAAGGGTAAATTTGTGGGCTGCGCTAATAGCAAGGGCAAGTTTGTGGGCAGGACTGTGTGCACACTGGGTGAAGAGGTGTGTGCGTGGTGTGAGAAGGTGCTAAGAGGCAGGCTGCAAATTCAACCAGGGGAGATAATAGCTGCAAACACGCCCTGTACCACCTGGGTCCCCAGGGCTTTTGCTGGCTCCCTAGTACCTCAGTTCATTGCTCCCCTCCCTCCATGCCCCACGCAATTCCCGGGCGCGCTACTCAAGTCACACTGGCGTGGGGTTTGGGTACTACAGTGAGTGGGGCCCAGTGCCACATGCTGGGCTCTGCACAGCACCATCTGCCAGAGCCCAGCTGGTACCAGACAGGGTGCCCAGTCACCAGGGGCTTCACTCCATTCTTGGGGACACAGCCCCAGGGAGAGGAACTGCAGAGGGTCACTGGTGCCGTGCACACACAGAAGGGAGTAAAACTCTTCTCCCAGTAAAAAATCAGGGAACTCTGCTCATGCATGCACACACACCTCACACCCACACACCCACACACTTCACACCACCTTACCCTACAGACATTCCTGCGTGTGCAAGGAACGGCTTGCTCTCACTCACTCACCCATGCACAGGCACATGCAGAAAACAGTTCTCAGTATCACGGTTCCCACCCATTTGGAAAGGCTTCTCCCTCCCGCATGCGCACGCTCCTCCAGGCTGTGCTCCCACACACGCAGCCTGCTGCGTCCCCTGCCACCTGTCCCTCCCTGGGCCAGGGCACACTGTCACCTGGAGACTAACGCACCAAAGCCTGGGGGCGAGATTGCTGCCAGCAGCCTCCTGTCCCCTCTGCTCTCCTGATTCAGAGAAAGCTCAACCCAAAGCTTGTCCTGCCCCTGTGTCACTTACCGTGAATATGTTGGAGCGCCGCTTGGACTGCTTGCGAATGGGGGTGGGTGTATTGGAGGCAGCAATGGTCTCAATCCGTAGCTCCCGCTGGCTGATGCTAGGTGTGGAGGGCACAGAGGAGGAGTAGTCACTAAAAGCTCCTCCACCGTTGGTGGCCTAGGGCAGAGAGAGAGCAGGATGAGTCACACAGAGACAGGAGGCTGCCTTGAGGCATGACCGCTTACCACGTGCAGGAACCTCCTTGCACAGGCAGCAGCCTCACAGCCGGGGCAAGGAGGGATAGCACTGGACGGGGCTGTGGGAGATATTCTGCTCCTCACACTGCTGCTGCCCAGTCAGGCTATCTTGGGAAAGCTGTATCCTTGTCCAGCGACAGGACAAGAGGCAACGGGCACAAACTGAAACCCAGGAAGTTCCAGCTGAACATGAGGAAAAACTTCTTGACTGTGAGGGTGACAGAGCACTGGAACAGGTTGCCCAGAGAGGTAGTGGAGTCTCCTTCCCTGGAGATATTCAAAACCCGTCTGGATGTGATCCTGGGAAATATGCTCTAGAGGTCCCTGCTTGAGCAGGGAGGTTGGACTAGATGATCTCCAGAGGTCCCTTCCAACCTCAACCGTTCTGTGATTCTTTGTTTCTGCTTTACCTTTTTTGCTGGTAAAACACTAAAATACTGAAATCAATAGCAAAAAGCAGTAATTAGACAGGGACACTTTACTCTGTCGGCTGTAGCCCAGGATTTCTGAGAAGCGTTTCCAGACAAAGGGTCTGGTGCTGAAGGCATGGAGGCAGCTATGAACCCTGCAGCCCTTAATAACTGTAGCTGCATGTCTTCTCAGAGGGAGATGGCTGGGGACACTTCAGCATGATCTCTCTCAAAAACATACGACCAGCGTAGTTAATCCTCTGACAATCTGCTAGGGAGAATCCTCCTTTCTGCAAAGGCTGTCGAACACGAAGCAGCAAGACAGCCCACACCTGTCTAGACTCCCACATAGTTCCTTTCCAGCCTCACCAAGGCAGCTACGATACCATGGTAGATGTACAATCCCACAGCTCAGGTCCTAGCCTCTCTGGTGTCCTGAAGCACAGGGAACCATAAAACAAGCTCATACTGTATGCAGAAGGTGTCTTTACTGCTGGTGTTGAGAGGTTTATCCAGCCTCATGGATGGCACACCTCTTGCACCTTGACTCTGACAGCAGCAGCCACTGCAACCTTAGCTACAGTGACCTCGGTGTCTGAGAACGCATGGGAAAACATGCTATGTCTTCACTAACTAGATTGATTCTAGGGAGACGGGAAGGTCCAACTATCTAGTTTGTGGAGACATCTCAGAGAGACATTTATTTTAGACAAGAAACTGTTCACTCCCATTTGGCTCATGCAAGCTCTACAGACAATGACCTAAAAATGAGCTTGCAGGAGGTTCTAAGGAGCAACATTCATGAAAAAGCATATCAAATCTGCAGCCCAGGATATCATACTAGTGCAAGGCACATGGCAGCCTGAACTCCATTTGGCAGTTCTGCTGATCTTTGAATAGTATTTCAAAAATACGCTGAAGAAATCGCCTCTAAAAGGCTAACAGAGCTCCAGCACCCTTTGCAGAAAGCAGCCTACCTCCTCTTAGTTAACGAGGTAGGATTTGGATGGATCATGGCTGATCAGAAAGGCACCAATTCCTAAAACACTGCAATGAGATAACACAGAAAACAGCCACTACCAGAATGGTTATGTCCACCGTGGGTAAGAGTGAATAGCACCGGAAAAAAAATATACAAACCCCACCTGGGCCTAGGAAAAAAGCCAGCAGAATTGGACTGGCATGGCTGGAAGAAAGAATCTCTTACAGGAGAACCTGACACACAGGCTGAACATCCCTCTGCCCCTTGCAACACCTCACAGCACTAAACGACTACCAAACTTGCAGTGTACTTGTCTTCCGACTTGAAGTAACAGCCACCAAGAAGGCAGTCTACAAAGAGACCAATAACAACGCAATAGTCCCCATGGACCCCAGCTGAACAAACAGAATCTCCTTAGAGAGGGATGCCATGGGCACGTGTGGAGCAAGGATCCACCAGAGATGCTCAGTAAGAAAACACCTATGTGCACACTCTGTACCTGGCAGGGTCTGAGCCTTCTACGACAAGAAGTCAAGAAACATTAGAAATGTGAAAGAGGTTGTACAGGCAGACCAGCAACTGCGAACGACATAGCCCTCTCCTAGAGAAAGGGTGCAACTTGCACTCAGGCTATAGCCTGCCTGATCTTTCGTCAGGGAAAGGGGAAGACGACACACAAAGGAGAACTTCTTTTAAGAGAGGAAAGAGCCATCCAAAAACAGCCTAATTTCTCTCTCTCTGAAGCAGAGCAAGGAACTTCTGACTCATGGTAGCTAGATGTGTTGCAGAGAAATCTGACCACAGAAGAGGAGTCTGATGATGGACCTCCTTCAAAGGCCTCACGTGGGGGAGCTGACAGCTACTTCCAAGAAGCTGAGGTGCTTCCACTCGTCAGAGCTACCCCAGGCTCCGGAACAGCTCCAGAACAGGACAGCTCCAGAACAGGCTTGCCCACAGATAGCACAGTTGGCCATGTTATCTGCTGTTTGAAGTTAAGCTAAATACCCTTCCACAGAGGGGAGGAGAAACCTGTGGGCTAGGCACTCTGCCCTGACAAAACATCTTCGTTAAAGGCCACTGTCTCCAGATGGTTCTGAAAGAACCTAACACCACACCTGGAGAAAGGGCAGCCCAGAGTCGCAGATCCTCTGCAGACTGTCCACCTCTGCTCACCTCTGCTCTGGGGAAAGGGACCTTGTACCACATGGGATCTGCTGGGTTGACACGCTGCCTGCTGTCTGCCTGACAGCAAGCATGGCTCAAAACGAGGAGCAGGAGGCTGTTTAGCCCCGCAGCCTTCAGCAAAGCCTTGCTGTGAGCAGGTGGTTTCCCTGCAAGTGCAAGACTCAGAGTGTCTGAAATGCATCCAGAGACAGGAAAGCTGCTGGCACCCTGAAATGCAGAATGAGGGGGAATCTGGTCTGCTTACACTTCTCCGCATGTAAAGGAGGCTGGGCACTCTGGGCAGGGAAGCGAACGTAGCCAAGGGCACTCTCCTGAGGCCACGCAGCTGACAAACCCTGCTGAAAGACACATTTCTGCTGCCCAGCCCTAGAGGAGGAGGGACTATCAGGGACATGGAGAAGCAAAGAGAAACGCCATCCTGCCCGTGACTTCCGAACCATTAATCAGAGATAATTCCTGTAAAGCACAGATACCACACTGCATAAAGAAGTACTCTGCAAATGTAGTGATGAAAGAACAGCTACCAAGCTGAAGAGAATTCATTGGGACAACTCACATGCATGATCAGGAATAATAAAGCCTGTACAATCAATATTTAATGGATGCATAATATGCGAAATATGTCAAAAACCAGAAAAAGATTCAAAGTGTGAGGGAAGAGATGGTCAAAGCTGCAACATACAGACTTGCTATCCAAGTAGTCGAGCAAGATAAGGCAACCAGGAGTCCAAAACACACTCTCCCAGCTAAGCTCTGAATATTTCAGTAACTCAGTCCATTTATGAAGCTATGACTGAGAGAAGGATTCAGTTCAGAAGAGGCTACAGAGTTTGAACCCCTGCCATAGCAGCTGGGACTAATCCTATGGCTGCTAGGTGATGGACACTAAAGCTTCTAGGAAGGAATCTTGCTAAACCGTGTTTTATATTTTACATACTCCCTGTAACCTTGTTTTCAATTTTTGCCTTGCTAGAATAAAACTTCATTTTCTTTAGCCCATAAATTTGCCTAGTGTTGGGAACAAGTCAAGGAGTGTCTTTCTTGCGGGGCAATGAACACAAGCAATTGAGCATGCGGGCATCCCATGGACATCCAAGCCTCAAGAAAGGTGCTGGGGCTGAAGGTTGTCTCACATCAAGCTACGAAGGCCAGTGAGGGAGCTGGTACCATCCAGTAAGTGCTGAGGGCAGAGGAGAATGCGAAAAGCAGACAGCAGTGCAGACTCTGGCTACATAGGCAATCCTGAACCATCACACTGCTCAGCTGAAGCAGAATGCTCAGGAGGAATCCAAGAACCCAAAAGACATCACAGAAGGGGGGAGAACCACGACAAGAGGGCATGTTTGGGCAAATACTTCATTTTTGCTCCTGGCAGCTATTGTGCTGATCTACCTAAACAACCACTGGTAGTCTCCATCAGAATCAATGAATACAGTGGAAGTCGTAAGCTTAGTAGAACACATGCAGGACAAATCCTTCCCATTAGCGTGCAGTGGGTGGATAACTGTATACATCAAAGAATGTCAATTGTGCTATAGGGTGCTTGTGCATTGGAATAACTCAGGTGAAGTTAAACTGTATTAACTTTTGGCAAAAAAAGGCGTGAGGTGAAGCAAGGGAGTGAAATTTGGGAAGGGCTCTGAAGGGAAGAGTGCAAACAAGCAGAAGCCACTGACTCAGCATTTGCATAGGAACAGGGAAGAAACTAGAGAATGTACAGACCACGAAATCACAGTGGAGCACCTCATGAGCTGAATTAGCTACTGGATGCAGGCTTCCACAAGGAAACGCAAAGGCCCATTGCTTGAGCTGCCGAAACACGCATGCTGACTGAACTTTGGTGAAACACGTTGCAACAGGCAAGAAAAGTTCCTGTTACCAAGCACAGGTTAACTGCAGTTTGTGTTTCATTTCAGTAGCGAACTTTTAAGTTTCTAGTACTTTTATCTGTTCTCCTTGACTAAAGTTTTGATAAATAAACCTCTTCTTTTTTTTTTTTCCAATGAAGATGCTACACAATACTGTAGACCAAGGCCAACTAGAGTGACACTCTTAAATTGTGATGCACTGTCCCAAAAAGGGAGATCAGCAGAGCGGAGCACACGGGCCAAACAGAAGGACCCAGCGACGTGCTCCGAAAGGCCAGGGGACCTGGCAGTTCACTCTACTAGCCTGCAAAGATTCAGTGTGGGGTGCCTGTGTTACCTCCTGCCAGCGTCTGGGAATGAGTTCCCTGGCAGAAAGACAAACTTCCATCCCACAGCAAACAGGCAACGGAGACTCATCCCACAGCCTGGGGTACTCCTAAAGGCATCTCAGAGTCCCTGAAGAAAGATGGAGAAA